AGTGCCATGCTGTGGGCTACATTTGACCATCAATGTACCTCTAGTTCCAGGGGTTTCCTGAGGGACCTAAGCAGCAGTATAAGTGGAAATGATTTACTCTAGGAATCCTGACCACATTACCACTAAATCAATTTTCCATTAGTGACCCCAGACAAATGTCCACCTGTGCATGCCTGAATATAAGGACAAATTCCCCAAAGTATGACATTCTAGTGCCATGGACTTGTGGAGGGTCCTAGAGGCTCAGAGTATCAAACCTGAGAGAGATCATGTGGTCCACTCCTGTCATTTAAATGGATAGTAATGGTTCAGATTTCAATAACACTTTACAATTTACAAAAGCACTTTCATCATAATAACCCTGTGAGGTAGGTGGTATGAGTATTAGGCTCCTTACTTTACAAACAAGGAAACTGAAGTTTAAAGAAATTAAATGAATTGCCCAAGATGCCACAGCTGAAGAACAGCACAGCTGGGGCTGGAACCCAGACCCATTGTTCTCCACAACATCACCGACCAACAAGTAACTACTGGGTGCCAGGGCACTAAGCATACAAAGACCAACATGAAACAGTTCCTGCCTGGAAAGAACTTACACTGATACAACACATCAGCATATGAAGACAAAACAGTAAACACAAAGCAATATCTAGGGACGCCGGGCAGCCAAGGGAATCGGGAAAACCTTCAGGTAGGTGGCGGCACTTGGGCAGTGCTGAGGTGCAGGGAAGGAGGAAGTGCATGCCAAGAATGGGGGAAAGGCCCGAAGATGGGGAAGGGGTGGTTATGAACAAGAAATGGCAAGAAGGCCAATTTGGTGTCAACATACAGTTCAGGAAGAGGAGTGAGCTGTCCCAGCCGCTACTTCAGGGTTTAAAACTCTTTTGTAGCTAGCACTTTGAGAACATGGTGTCGCCCCCTTCTTACCCACTGATCCCTTGAGTTTATCCATTATTGTCCATATCACTCATTTGACACTTAAGTAAAATATTTTTTAAACCTTAAAATTCTATATGAGGGTGAATCATTATTACAACTTAAAAAAAAACCTCTTGTATAGGTGCTTAAACTGTGGTCTCATTGAGAACAAAAACTGCCTTATTTTTATACCCACTTCTTCCCCCTCTAAACACACAATATATTGTAATTGCATATAATTGAAGCATTAAAATTCATTGGGTAGCTGGACAGATGGATGAACAATGATCAATAACATTTTGAGGCCATTTGTCTTTAAAAACAAAACCAAAAAACTATGTTTCTAAAGGGATCTATAGACATTTAGCCATATGTGTGTGGGTGATTACATGTATGTGGAGAAGATAGAGAGTTTAACTTAAGCCTTAAGTCTTCTTTAGAGATCCATCAGTTTGGGATACCTCTATCTAACGTCTCAATCCCAGTCTATTCCTTCTCTCTCTGGTTCATTTAGAAGTAGATAGATAGATAGATAGATAGATAGATAGATAGATAGATAGATAGATAGATAGAT